AAAAAAAAAAAAAAATGAACTAAAAAATTATGTAAAAATAGGGTTTAACTTCCCAAACCTGATCGGTTTCTCCATTGGTAGAAGCCATGATACAAGAAACAGCTTCCCGTATGCTTATGGAGTGCAGCTCAGGATAGTGATGAGGGTCTACGATATAATAATAATAATAATAATATATAATAATAATAATGCAATACAATTGCTTGTGATTTTAATGTACAACTGAAGGTGCATACAGTACAACATCAAGTTTTCTGTATTACGAACTTTGGTGACACGTATCACTGCCAGCCCACGAAATAATAAAAAAAAAAAATTAGAGTTAATGAATATATGTGTAAAGTTATTTATGTCTTATATTAAATTTAATTCCAGAGAAAAAATAATGTAAAACAATATCACGAAGCATAGATTTTCACCATGTCAGTATCCGAAGCGTGAGAATCTACCACCTAAACTCAACATGTTTTGAATTAATATATAGAGAGGAATTAGTTTAGAGTTGGCCAACCAAAGCTTGTTCGAGCACTTAATTGAGCCATATTCGAACAGAAAATTAGTCTCGTTTAATAATGGAATGAACACGAGCTCATACGCGAACACTCGGTAATTTTCGCGAACATTAATTTAATACATTTTTATTGTCTTTTTTTTATATATTTACATAATATTTTTAATAGGAAATCTAAAATATAATAAAAAATATTTTATTTTTTCATTTTTGAGTTCGATCAAGTTGAGAAGAACAAATTTCAAATTAATTAAACATATTTTAAAAAGTTTATGTCTTAAATTATTAGAACACAAACGAACTCGAACTTTGACGAACAATTAAACAATCGAGCCTGAACATGATTTTTTGCTCGAAAAATAAATAAAAGAACACAAACATTGTTCGAACGTAAACAAACATCAAAGAACGCGAACATTGTTCTAATATCAGATAAATAATATATTTGATAAATATTGATATTGTTTTCACATGGATTCTTTTATGTAAGTTGAATAATATAGTAGAAAATATTTAGGTCTGCCTTAGCCTGTTTCCATGTGGATGATACAATACTCTTTGACAAATTCCATTACTTTAGAACAAAAACAACATATCATATTAAATTAAACCAACACAACTATAAATATTACTGCCAATTCAAGGATAATGTTCCCCTCCCACAATGGACACATGTTAATATGTCTACCGTTTATGTGGCATGTACACATTGGTGATGTTAATATGTTCAAACAAATACATCACCAATGAGTGAATGCCACATAAGCGGTGGACATATTAACATGTGGCCATCGTAGGTAGGTGAACATTACTGACCAATTAAATTATCACATGATGGTTTGACCATCATATATCCTTCGTCATCAACCAATCAGATAGTCCCACATGTACAGATAGGATTTTTGTTATTTTTGAAATGATATTATTTCGATCCTATAAGTAAACTCCAGGTTATTATAATAGTTATGTACTTAAATATTGACCAATCATTTGCTACTTAACTAATTAAGCTCATTAAGAAAAAAAAAAACATTTTCGAAGTATATAAATGAGTTACTCTAATAACTATAGTCACATTCCATGGGCAGCCTGAATATTTTAATTGAATATACTCCATTTCATTTTTGGATAATAATAATAATACACATTTAGCAGCATTTGAAACACTATGCTCGTGGTTAAGTATTTAAAAAATATAAAATATAACCAATAATTTGAAATAAATAACAAATTTGTTCAGCAATTTGCAAAAATTGTTCAGTATTTAATTAAGTAAGCCATAGACATCCAGCCCACTTACACATGTTAAATACACATATTCCAATTATACTCCATTTTACGAACAAGTGGACATTTTCATAAATTATTAGTGCCAATTTACCATTTATTCAAGGCTTAATTGCGCATAAAATCTTCACATTTGTGTAATTGTAAATAAAACACACTTTTTTTTTTTATCTTTGCAAATAAATACCAAACCACTATTATGTGTT